CCTCACCCTATTTCCTATCACGGTATTAAAGTTCAAAATGATAAAACGGTATTTCTTGAATTAACGAATGTGTGAAATTGCTTAAGGTGGCTAATGGAGCCCGAGTCTAGTGTGATTGGTGATTTACTGTTATTTGGCCTGTTTACAGCTTTAAATGCAAAATGAGGTTTGATGTGTTCATTTTACAGATTTGTGTGCATATACTACGTTTTTATTAATTATGGGTTGAATGACTGAAAAACTGATACTGTATGTTGTCTGTTTGGCATGAATTACGATTTGCTTGTTTAAATGTGAATTGATGATGCTGACTGAGGAAAAGAAAAATAAAAGATTGTGTAGACTGATAATTGTATTATGGGGTCAGCCTGACTAGATATCCTGGGAGATGGTGGACGGACCGGGTCCGTAGGGAACCCTACCGGGATTGTGGTCTCACATGCCGGACGGGGTATGGAGATCTTATGGTATTGGCGCCCATACCGGACGGGGTATGGGGACGGCCCGTTTCACCCTCATACCGGACGGGGTATTGAGGTTTATGGTTTTGGCGCCCATACCGGACGGGGTATGGGGACGGCCCGTTTCACCCTCATACCGGACGGGGTATTGAGGTTTATGGTTTTGGCGCCCATACCGGACGGGGTATGGGGACGGCCCTGGAAACTGATTATGAATGTTAGAGGTTAACGGGTAGCGGGACCCCTATGGACCCCCACGGATACTAGTAGGCTGGTAAATGAGAAAAAGATATGTTGTATAATGATTGAATTACAAGAGGCGTGATAAGTGTTATGTTTCACAGCTTATATTATTCCATGATTATGATAATGTTATTGTTTTTCTTATATTGTTTCATAAATTCCACCGAGGTAAGTGGATGGTAAAGGGTTTTATTACTGATAAATGAGTTTATTGTGAATTATGCTCCATTGGTCTTTTTGTGTTTTCTACCCACCTTTACCTCCGTGACGGTGAGATATCGTGATATTCTTACGGGCTAGTGTAGCTCACTCCTTATTTAACCATTTCAGATCAGGAAGACATGGTTCCCGAGCCCGTTCCGCAGGAGGACGACGAAAGGGATGCCTAGAGACTCTGTAGTCATACTCATAGCTTTATTTTCGAGTTTCTCTTTTAGTTAGTTTAATCTTTTATATTTTAAGTACGTTTTTGGTTTTCGTGTAAGGGATGTTAACTGAAATTTTGATCTCGCTTCTGCATTTGATATATTTAAATACTCATTTCATTTTAATATTTTCGGGGTCGTTACAGGTGAAGTCTCAAATCTCTCCATAGCAAAAAAGAGGAGCTCTGACCGTGAAGGTCATTTGAAGGACTGATGAAGCTATCGGATTTTACGTTTTTAACTAAAATGAAAAAATACACATACACTTAGGAAAAAGAGAGAGAAACAATGAAATAAAGAAGAGAAACACGTTTACTGGAGTTAGTTTTGCTATCTTGCACAGTGGCACAGCCGTGCCCCGCCACCCTCTTCCTTTCTCCGACATCCCACTCTCTCCCACTCCCTTCTCTTATGGCGGTTAGGGTCAGGGTCACAAGAAGAGGACCCTTAAATAGCCACCCCCAAATAGTTTCTATCCATAGGATTAGATCTAATCTACCCACATATGGACCGTTCGATCAACTTTCATTAAGGGCAAATTAGTCACTTCTCTTCCTAAAAAGATCTACACTGTTGATTCAAATTCTGACTCATCAGAGTCATTGAAATTCATGATCGTCAGATCACACTCAAGATGAATCGTGGCCGGTGCTTCACAGATCACACGCAGACCGTGCGATCAATCAACACGCGCCCCAATCGTCCAATCTGCATCTGGTTTGTGAGCCTCGCGATCTTAATCATCATCCTCTGCACATCTAGGAGCCGTTGGATCGCATCCAAAGGCGGAAAAGATCCTTTGCCATTCGATCTTCACTAAAACATCCAGGCCATTCGATCATCCAACATGCGGATCTCCAGCATGTGAAATCTGCATGGAATATCATCCTGACATGGCCGCCACATGGCGCAACCAGATAGATTGAATTGCCAAGTCAGCAAATGACGTGTCTTGTTTATAAACAATTGTAGAGTGACCTCTGGTCACTAAAATTATTTTAATTATAAACAATTGTAATTAGTCCCATTTTAATTATAAAATGACCATAACTTTATAATTTTACTTCAAAAATATTCTAAATTATTTATTTTATTTATTATTCATATTTTTCATGATTTTTAAATTTTTAAATAATTATTTTAAGGTCCTAAATATTTATATTTAACTCATTTTAGTCCTTTGTAATTACAAAAGACCCCAAAAACTTTAATTTTTATTTGTGTAAGTCTCCAAAATCTTAATTTATCTAAATTTGAGTTTAATTTAATTTATAAAATCTATTTTTGTGAATTTATTTAATTCGCGAGTGTTACAAATTTGATTCAGTAGATATTTTATTTATATATTAGAGAATATTTTATGTATATTCTTAATAATATTTTATTGTGAGATTAATTTTTTCATCCCTTTCAAATGTTGAAGGAGTTGAATTGTAAATTTCAGAACACACTCAATTCATAAAAATTTATTACAATATATATTTATATATATATATATATATGATAAAAAGTTAAGATATATAAAATCTGCTTACGTATAAATAAATTAGCAATCAAATAAAGATTTTATTTAAAAAATCTGCTTTTATAACTAACATTTATTTTCTTTCCAATTGAATCAAGATTTATTTAGAAAAGGGAAGAACGTTGCAAGTTGCACATGTTTGACCAAATATACAGATTGCCCTTCTAGCTGCCACACGACGTCGTATAAGAACCAACAAAATTTATTTCCAAAAGCCAACTTCACCTCCCTGCCTTCCCTCCTCCCCTATTTATGACTCAAGGTCCTCTTCTCTATTCATCACCAACCTTACCTTCTTTTTCTCTCTTGGAAAAAAATGGATTCAAGGAATCTAAATAACCCAAAAACACATAGTCCCATCATGATATTCACCATCGTTTGTCTAATGTCACAACTCGTATCATCAACTAATCATTATCGGCAATGGAAGAAGAATATCACACACCCATCGTCTCCAACTTTAAGCTCTGATATCGTAGCCATGCTCCAATCCGATCCCAAATCCATCCAAGCAGCTTCTCACGACTTCGGTAACATCACCGAACTAGTCCCCGCCGGAGTTCTTTGCCCTTCTTCAGTTTCAGATATCACCTCCTTCATAAACTCCGTCTTCCTCCATCAAGCTCCACCTCCAGTTGCTGCAAGAGGCGCTGCACACTCGGTCCGTGGACAGGCCATGGCGCTTAAGGGAGTTGTGGTGAACATGACTTGTCTGAATAGTGGAGTTTTGGTGTCTGGTAATCATAACTCGGGGTTTTATGCAGACGTCGGCGGCGAACAACTGTGGATCGACGTGATGAAAGAGACTCTCAAGGCTGGATTAACGCCGGTTTCTTGGACGGATTACTTGTACCTGACCGTTGGTGGGACGCTGTCAAATGCCGGGATCGGTGGACAAACTTTCCGACATGGTCCTCAGATTGCGAATGTTCATGAATTAGATGTTGTCACTGGTAAGATTTCGTGTCCTAAATCTAGTTTCATTTTTTTGGTTTTTTTGTCTAGTTGAAGATTTTATCCACAAAAACGGCTGCGTTTTGAAGCATCTATATATTATGACTAGTGTCAGTTTCAGCTTTCAACGTGTACTACTTAAATATTGTGATCAATTCTCAAAAGAAAACAGAAAAAAAGCCCTTCTCTGTCAACAAATTGAATATATATACATATATAAGATCAATTTTTTACGCATGTATGTATATATATACAAACCTCAGGAATATAT